TCTGTTCCCCACTCTGTCTCTGGTGAATTCTCTCACCCTCCCATGGCCTATACCCCAGCTCTTGTATAAATAAATAAAATATTTGAAAAAAAAAAAAATCTCAATCTCATTTTCGTGTAAGATACCAGTCATACTGGTATCTTCATTTTGACTTAATTACCTCTTTAAGGACCTTATGCCCAAATACAGCCACATTCTGAGATACTGGGGATTAGTACTTCAACTTATGATTGGCCAAGGGAAGAGGAGACACACACAATTCAGCCTATAACATATGGCTTCATTATTTCTTATGTGTAATTCAATTCATTCCATCTATATTGAGTTCTTGCCTGCTGGATGCTGGAATCAGGAGATTCATGAACACATGAGACAGTCCCCACCTCCCAGAGGACTCAATCTCAGAAAGTAGGTTGACATGTATTTATAATGCAGGATGATGTTGTGGAGAGAGAGTGGAGGGAATAGGGGTGGGTACTGGGTTGAGGATAAGAGATGCCTGTGTGGAGAAGGTATTTTGGAAATGGAACTTGCAGGCAAAGCATGGCAAAGCAAGGAAAGGAAAGGCAGCTTTTGCACTGCAGAATCAGGGAATGTGGGACACCATGGCAAGAGATGCAGAAAGTCAGCCCAGGAGGCCATGGTGCCAGGACGTGGAACATGGATTTATCCTCTGAGTGATAGTGGGCATCTGAGGGAATGTTATGGGAAGATCTCCTTGGTTAGAGGGGAGGGTAGGCTAGAGACAAGGCAAGACCAGTGGTAACTGTAATATTCTGTGTTGACCAATTGATGAAAAATATGACCAAAGGCTCCAGAAGCCTAACCCTGGGTTTCCCAAGGGGCAATGGCTCAAGTGTTCCTTGATTCAGTTTTCCTGGTGACTTTATAGAACACAACTACCCCAAATAACAAGACTTGGCTCTACTTAGTACTTGTTAACTATATGTATTTTAAGACACAAGTTCTTGTTAAATTTTAAGTTAAATTTTTACATAGGAGCATTTGTACAATATAGATGAATTAGCTGAGTGACCTTGAGCAACTTACTTAACTATCCAGGGCCTTGCTTTGTCATCTACAAAATGGAAGTAACAAAAGTGATCTCCTGGGCTTATTGTGAAGATTAAGTCAGATAATATGTAGGAAAACATAACAATGTTGGTGTATGATAAGTCTTAGAAAAATGGTGGTCTGGATCCTGACACTGGTATGGATTTGCTGGATGACCCAAGTGGGTTTCTCACCACACAGGATGTAACAATTGTATCAGCGTGTGCACCTCCAGGTGGTGGCCGAAACCCTGTGACGCCCCGCTTTATCCGACACTTCAGCATGCTGTGCCTCCCAATGCCCTCAGAACACAGTCTGAAACATATTTTTCAGGTGAGTATGGATTTAAACTTGTGCAACAGGAAAAAAGAAAACATTTGTTCCAAAACTCCCACAATGAAAACAGTCTGTTGTGTTTCTAGGGAGCCATCTGTCCCTTTCCACAGGTGAAAACAGGCATCTGGACAGTAGCTGATAAGCATTTGCATCACTGCCTTCTGTGCTTGTAGTCTCACATACAGTTTTTGGAAAACAGAAAGACTGTCAAAACTCAACCCCACCTGTCTAAGGTTATATCCCAGGCCTTGCCTCTTAGCATTCTCTCAGCAGATCACATCCCTTTCCAGTGCCTGATTCTGTGCTCATGTCATACCTGACCACCAGGTCTGCATGTCTGCTTGCTCAGGGAACTCAAACTCAGCCCACCTAACCCATCGCCTCTGCTGCCATCACCACTCCAACAAAAGCAACCACCCATACTCCACCACCTATACAAACTCCCTAAAGGGTCACGTCTTCATCTTTTAATGGAAGAATAATCACATCTACCTGTAAGTGCTGAGCAGAAGTGTTCAATGAATATAAGACATTTTGAATAAAATGATGGGAGAACGTGAAGCAGCATGACTAGAGCATGCCATCACCAACCAACAAAGACTGCTTAGGGAGGATAGATGATGAGCTGAGTCCTGGAGGATGAGAGTTGACAGAGAGGCACAGATCTTGGGAACAGAAGATTCGTGAACAAGCACAGTCACAAATAGTAAAGTATGTGTGTAGACAGAATAAGACTAGTGACTGGTTGGAGAAAACTGGCTTTGGCAATAATCACCTAGAGATCAGTGAGTGATGAAGGAAGTGGCAAAACCTGATGAAAAAGAACAGGGACTAGAATGGAGTGATATCAGGGAAAAGAAGAGAGCAAACACATTCAAGAAAGTATTCAAGGGCCTCCCTGGTGGCACAAGAGGGTTAAGACACAACCTATGAGGCTATCCATAGCTACTGCAGCACAAGTTCAATCCCCGGCCAGGGAGCTACCCACATGGCACAGCAGACCTCTCCTGGCTCCCCCGCTGCTCCTCTCAGCAGTGTACTTCGGTACTTCTGCCTGCTCTGCTCCCGGCTCTGGCTCTGGTGAATTCTCTCACGCTCCCGCACTTCTGACTGTACCCAGTGCTTGTATAAATAAATAAATAAATCTTTAAAATAAATAAATAAATGAATCTTTTTTAAAAAATTAAATAAAATAAATATACATGGAGATTAAAATCACATAAAAATCAGAGAGCATTTCAGTTCATTTTCAAATGAGTCAGGCCCTCCATGAAGACCCTGTGACCACATCAAGCAGTGTTCTAAATTAAATTATTTCAGAGTAAATTTATGGTACAATCACTGGTCAAATATGAATACTGCTCGGGATTGCCAATCATAGAAGACAGGAGTAAACCCATTCTTGAGAATATATTCTGAAATTTATGAATGAGATTTAATACTCAGGCATTCTTGATTTGGAATTCAGTTTTCTGGTTGTTATTAGAAAAGGTATCATCAGATCTGGAGTATTTGAATGATAAGTTTGGTATAAAAATAAACCCTAATTTTCTCATATTATGTTTCTGGTTCTAGGCCATCTTAAATGGCTTCCTGAATGACTTCCCACCAGCTGTAAAGAAGACTGCATCAAACATCGTAGAAGCTGCAGTTGAGATTTATAACAGAATGAGTATTGATCTTCTGCCAACACCTGCCAAGTCCCACTACGTCTTTAATTTGAGGGACTTGTCCAAATGTGTGCAAGGTGGTATATGCAACCCTCATTCTCTGACCAGCACCCTTCCTTCATTTCCCACCCCAAATCTCTTTATCAGTTGTATATACACAGGTGTCTATGACTTTCCTGGAAATACCACTACTTGTCCCTGTTCCATTCACCTTTGACCCCCCACCCCACCCCAGGCTCACTACCTCACAGCTTCCCTCAGATTGCCAAGATCGCCTCCTGTTTCTCACTCCAACCAGATTACCTGTCTTGTTATTTCACTAAAAAAAGAACAGAAATAGTTGAGCCAGAACTCTCACCTTCCAGATCTCCCAGACATCCCGTAACTGCCTTTCCTCCTACTTTCATGGCTGAACTGTCTGCCCCTGTAGCATACGAAGATCCCTCAGCACTGAATCCCATTCTCTCCTGCTCCTATAATTCCCTCTTCTCTTCTGCATCATCACTGTTTCCTCTTATATGAATCATTCCCAACAACACAAAAATATAGCCCTCATCTTAAAAAATAATTCTCTTTAAGCCTCATATTCCCCTGCTGCCAAAACACCACCCCCCCCGCCCACACACACACACAAACACATTTTCCCTGTTGTTTTCAGAAACACCCCTTGGTGACACTGCACTAAACTGTTCTTGACTCCCCATCTTGCCAAATCCACTGGGCTGTTCTGAATCTATACCTTAACCTCTCAGTAGTGTTTGACTTACACACCCCTCACTTTCTTTTGAGACCCTTCCCTCTCCAGTGCTCCCCTGGGCACCCTCTTCCCTTACTGATTATTGCTGTTCAGTCTCTTTTGATGGCTGTCCCTCTCCTTTACTTCAGAATGTTAGGGTGCCCCAGGAGCTTGTCTTCTGTCTTCTTTTTTATCTATACATACTCCCCAGGTAATCTCAATTGGTTAAATGGTATTAAATGCCATCCATTCAGAGATGCTGCTTAAATGTCTACCCCCAACTTCTCACTCTGATCTATGTGTCTGACTTGTATATCCAATTCCTTTCCCCAATTCCTTACTTACCAGTTGAAATTATACTTCTTGGTGTCTGAAACTGAGTTCTTACTTTACCCCTCCTCCCCAGCCTTGTGAACACTTTAGTTGCTTTGGCCCCAAACCTTGGGGTCATAGTTGATTGTTCTCATTCTTGGATGATTCCCATCCAATTCATCAATAACCCTAATGGTTTTATCTTCAAAATAGATCCCAGTTCTTTTTCCCACCACTCCATCCACTAACAATCCAACTCAAATGCCCATCATCCTTACCAGGATTTCTAACAGAAAGAGCCTTTCTCTGGTTTCCTGCTTCCAAGCTACCCAGTTACACCACCTTTAATTCAGTTCTTCCCTCACAGAAGCCAATAGTGTCCCCCATTCAGATTCTTCCCAGGCTGCTTCCCACTCACCTGCTGTAGGAGTGAGACTCTGAATGATCTGGATCCTGTGACCATCAATTAGAACATCTTTAGAGTAGGATACCAATCTTTAGAGTAAGATACCAATTGATCCATGAACTCACTTCTTGGATCTCAGACATTGTCTAATGTAGTTATTTGTTTATCATCCTTACCAATTGCTTCCCTAGTCCTATTCTGATGAGATAAGGTAAACACTGCTTATACTGTGAAGTCTGACCACTGCACATGTTCACTTAAAGAAACATCACAAACAAGAAATAACTTTATCAGATAATGTGTCTGTTTTACTTTCAAAACATGGGGCCCCATTATTATGTGCATATGTCCTCTGGGGAAACACCTCATTTCTAGTTGTGTGGAGATTAAGCTGGACTTAAAGATTTTCTAGTTAACAAAATTATGTCTATATAATGAATTTCCCTTTTTTCCCTTTTCTTTAAAAAAAAAAAAAAAACAAACAGGTATCCTCCAGTGCGATCCAGGAACAGTAAGAGAAGAAATACAGATATTCAGACTCTTTTGTCATGAATGTCAAAGAGTCTTCCACGATCGTTTGATTAATAATGAAGATAAGCACTACTTCTGTGCTATTTTGACAGAAATGGCCAGTAAATACCAATCTTTATTTAAATATTCTATGTTATTAGTGAAAAACAATTTAGTTTGTATAAAGAAAAATTTAAATGAGCACATATAGGGTAAAGCAAAATGAATTTTAGTCTTTCATGAGTAAAAGTTGTTTTCTTCAATGATTCAAATATATGTAAGAAGGCCATGTGTCAAGCTCTATGGGAGGTCTTTAGGAGTTGAGAGTTACCCTGGCTAATTGCCAACAAAGAAGCTCTGTCCCTTAACCTCTTGAATTTTACCAACAATCACAAGAATTTGAAAGAGGACCCAACATGTACTTTCATTGCGGTCTGGTGAAACCCTTAACTAGGGACCTGCCTAAGTTGTATCTGAGTTCCTCATCACTGGAAACTGTGTGAGACAATAAATGTGCATTGTTTTAAACTTCTAAAAAGTCATTTTATTGAAATTCAGGAAGGGTTAATATCTTTTAGCTCAGTATAGAATGTTAAATAGAAGAGGAAAACAGGAAAAACAGCGTTTGTCTTGATAAGAAGCAGAGCATCATCTCTAAAGTACTCCTTATTTATTAAATATATGTTCATTATCTGCTTAATAAGATTCTTAATATAAATCATTTTTATTCTTAAATCCAGGAACTGATCAAACAAACTAAAGTGAATAGTATTAACATGACTTTCTCTCAGTTTTCATTTATACCAATTAGAGCTTCTAAATAAAATCACAGATGATATTATTTTGTTTATCTTTTTAATACACTGCATCCAAGCTTATCATTATCTTAAAATTTTATTTTGTTTTTGAATAGACAAACATTTTGGAATTGCAATTGGTATGGAATATTTTTTGACTAAGCCCATCATATTTGGAGATTTCATTAAGGTAAAAAGAATACTGTATTGACCTGACTACATTTGAAGATTATAAAGCATTTACTATTTTCCAATGTCTATTGATATTCTTTTAATATATATATTTACATGATTGTTCATTTTTGTACATTGTATACTTCCTGCTCTCAGGTGTAGTCCTGTAAAATTCCCACCATGAATTCACCTTTTGCACCATCACCATAGTCCCCTGTGCTCTTCTCTCCCCTGTTTTGATCCATCTGCCTCTCCCTCCCTTGCAGAATGTCTCTGATTTATTTTTTTGAAGATTTATTTATTTATGCATACAAGAACTAGGGTACAGGCCAGAGATGCAGGGGTGAGAGGATTCACCAGAGACAGAGCGGGGAATAGAACAGGCAGACTGACCTAAGTACACTGCTGAGAGGAGCAGCAGCGGGCAAGACAGGAGAGGTCTGCTGCGCCATGTGGGTTTCTCCCCGACCGGGGATTGAACTCCTGCTGCAATGGCTGGCAATAGCTTGATAGTGCTGTGTCTTTAACTCCTGCATCACCAGGGAGGCCCTGTCTCTCATTTACAGTTGTCTGCTAATTTTGGTGTTTTTTTTTTTTTTTTTTTTTTTTTTTTAGAGGCATGTTTATTTATTTATTTGTTTTGTTTATACATGCACTGGGTACAGTCAGAAGCGCAGGAGGGTGAGAGAATTCACCAGAGCCAGAGCGGGGAGCAGAGCAGGCAGAAGGACCGAAGTACACTGCTGAGGGGAGCAGCGGGCGGCAGGAGAGGTCTGCGCGCCATGTGGGACCCTTCTCCGGTGGCCGGGGAGCAGCCGGGGATCGAACCGACGCCGCAGAGGCTGCGGGCAGGTTCTCAACCCAGCGCTCAACCGCTGCGCCACCGGGGAGGCCCTAATTTTGGTTTTTTTGTTTTTCGTTCTTTTTATTCTGCAAGAATTTTACATGTGTGAAAATTAAAGATCTGACAAGGAATCAGCAAACTATGGCCCTTAGGCCAAATCTTTCCACAGCTGGCTCCATAAATAAAAGTTCCATAGGAACACAGTTATGACCACTTGAATTATGTACTATTTACAAGGTTACTTTTGCATTGCAAGGCAGAGTGAAGTAGTAGCACCAGAGATTATCTGACCTGCAAACCCTAAGATATTTAATATCTGGCCCTTTAGTGAAAAACATTGCTGCCTCCTAATCTTAGTGCTGCATTCATTTTGATAATAGTTCTAATCAAAGATCTATCAGGTATTCTGTTTGCAAGGAAATAGAGAGGTTTAATCTCCTATTCCAGGATTAGAATCTTCCTTATTTTATTCTTTATAGCTGTACAGCCTTCGTTAGTTATTAGTGCTGCCCTACTCATTTCAAGGGAGCTCTAATTAGTAGCAGAGTTCCTTATACTGAGCTCTTCAAGTCTGTCCCCTAATAACATCTACACAGAAGCCCCAACTTTACTCTCTAGACCTGCCTAGAATAAGTCTTCCATGGAACAACCCTACTTATGTTGGCAGATAGCTCTTGTTTTACAGTTGACTCTTGTTTTTGTACAACATTCCGAGTGTCTCCGAGAGGGCAGGGGGCATGTCTCTGTTGTTCACCCTAATTCCCCATTTCCTGCACAGATCTAGGTGTGGGCTAGGCTCTCAGCCAATGCTGTTTAAACAAGTGAGTGAGCTCGTCTTGTATGTATGCTCTACCTCACCATTCTGGTAACCCTAACCACACACACACAAAAAAAGTGTGTGTGTGTGTGTGTGTGTATGCATGCATATATATATAAAGTACTTTATTTCTATGATATTATAAAAATAAAATCCAAAGTTCGTTTCCAAGTATTCATTATATTTTCTGTGTTTCTAATAATATTGTTATCAAATGAGGGAATAAAACAAAGAGAACAGCTAGACTCTGCATGCACTGCTTGTGTATATTCAGTCTCTAAGGATTTCAAATGAAATGCTCCCAGAGTAGTTGCTCCAACAAAGAAAAAACACCGTCAGTCAATGTAAACAGGATTCCAGTTCCCTATATTGTATACCAGATTTCATTCTCAGTAATTTATTCAGTTAAATTAGATGATTGATATATGAAAGCTACATATAATTCTGGCATGATTCTCTATAACCATAACATTCTATCTTGCATCATTTCAACTCATTTCACTCTTCTGATGTCAACAGCCTAAGAACAAAAATTTGAAACCAGAGTAAACTATAATGAGAAAATTTAAAGCCTATTTTTGAGCTCCTATATGTATTTTATTGCTAAGATCATTGCCATTCTATATACCACTCAGCAGAAATTAAATGAAATAGATTTTCAGTTATTCATGAAAATCTGAGTTTCTTTAGTACCATTTCCTTATTACTAAAAGCCTTGCTAACATATAAAAGCAAATGATTAAATAACATAGATGAAATACCTTTCCTTCCTAATATTACATGTGCTATATATATATTTTATTTATTTATATATCAAAATTTATTCAACCTAGTTCTTCTCCCATAAATCATTTTATAGTTTGGATCAGATAAGAGTGATCGTATTTATGAAGACTTGACTGATATGGACAAAATTGCAAATGTTCTACAAGACTATCTTGATGATTATAATCTTACACATCCCAAAGAAGTAAAGTTGGTGTTCTTCCAGGATGCTATAGAACATGTGTCAAGGTACAGTGCTAAAAGTTGCCCAATAATGCATTGATCTGATCTCTTTTGTATTAAAAGGTAAGGACTAGATTTTATAGATGTACAGTGATTTATCAGCAATATTAATATGAAAGTTATTTATATATATCTATATGAACTCTCTCTGTAATTCCAGAGATCATTATTTTCACTAAATATTAATAGTTTTGCTTGGTTTAAATGTCCTTTCTTGTTACAAAAAAGGATCTAAGATGGTTTACAGAGATGCATATACATTCAAAGCTGATTCCATGCATGCCTAAAGGAAGAGAGGGTTCAAGATTATAAAACAATAAGTTGAATCCAAGGAATGTAGATTCCATCTGTGTATAGTCTGACTTTTATTCATTCCAAGTATCCTTTGAGGAGCATCCCTGACATGTAGGTATCCAGCCTAAATATCTGCAGTCCTTTTTGGAGTAGCTGTGTCCTGATGGACAATTTTTTTTTTGATACTCAAGCAAAATTTAATTTTTAAATACATATGCACATGTATCACTATTCACATTGTGTTGTGTTTCTTTTCTAACTTCTTACCAAAATACAAGCTGTGAGAGGGCAGAACTCTGACATATATTAGTGGAATAATATTGGTGTTCCATCCATATTTCAGAGGACTTACTACCTCAGAGCACACCAACTAACTCAATCTCTTTGCCTAAGAATTTTTTTTTTGTTTTTTTCCATGTCTAGGGATATTTATTTATTTTTTATATTAATTTTTTACATCATTGTTCATTTTTAAACAATATTTGTTTCCACCCACCCCCTCAGGTGTAGTCCCTATAGAGTTCCCTTCCCCAATGCACCTGTGTACCATCACCTCAGTCCCTGTGCTCCTCCCTCCCCGCCTCCGATCCCTCTCCCTCCTTCTCCCTTGCAGGATGTCTCTGATTTATAATTGCCTGTTTTTGCTTTGTTGTGTTTGTACTATTATTATTTTTTTTACACGGATGTCTTATTTGGTTCCCCTATATTCCTGCTATAAGTGAAACCATCCAATATTTTTCTTTTTCCTTCTGGCTTATTTCACTGAGCATAATTCCTTCCAGTTCCATCCACATTGTTGTGAATGGCAGGAGTTTATCTTTTTTGATTGCTGAGTAACATTTCATTGTGTATATATGCCGCATATTCTTGATCCAGTCATCTATTTTTGGGCATTGGGGTTGTCTCCAGGTTTCACCTGCTGCAATAAACATAGGGGTGCAGGTGCTCTTTTGAATCAATGTTTTTGTGTCCTTTTGATAAATCCATAGGAGTGGAATTGCTGGGTCATATGGTAGCTCCATTTTTAGTAGACAGAGGAAACTCCAGACAGCTTTCCATAGTGGTTGGACCAGGTTTACACTCCCACCAGCAATGTAGGAGAGTTCTTTTTCACCACATCCTCTCCAACATTTGCTGTTGCTGGCTTTTTTGATATGTGCCATTCTTACTGGTGTAAGGTGGTATCTCAGTGTGGTTTTGATTTGATTTGCATTTCCCTGATTATAAGGCATGTTGAACTTTTTTTCATATGCCTGTTGGCCATTTGCATTTCCTCTTTGGAGAAGTGTCTTTTAAGTTCTTCTGCCCATTTCTTGACTGGATTGTTTATTTTGTTTGTGTTGAATCGTGTGAGTTATTTGAACATCTTTATGATCAATCCCTTACCTGATGGACAATTTTAAATGTTAAAATGGCCCTTAAGAATAATAGATGTGCCTTAAATTTTTTCCTAGCTAGTGTTTGTCTTTTAAATTCTACTTATTTTGGGCCTCCCTGGTGGCACAGTGGTTGACCGCTGGGCTGCGCAGCTCTGCAGCCCCATTTCGATTCCCCTGCCGTCGGGCGAGGATCCCACATGTTGCACAGACCTCTCCTGCCACACCCGCTGCTCCCCACAGCAGTGTATTTCGTCAGTCTGCCTGTTCTGTTCCCCACTCGGCTCTGGTGAATTCTCTCACCCTCCCCTGCTTCTGACTGTACCCAGTGCTTGTATAAATAAATCTTTAAAAAATAAAAAAATTAAAAAAAAAAAGAATAAGTCAGGGCCTCCCCGGTGGCGCAGCGGTTGAGCGCTGGGTTGCCAAGTTGCCCGCAGCCTCTGCAGCGCAGGTTGGATCCCTGGCCGCCGGATGAGGGTTCCACATGGCGCTCAGACCTCTCCTGCCACCCACTGCTCCCCTCAGCATTGTACTTGGTCAGTCTGCCTGCTCTGCTCTCCCCTCTGGCTCTGGTGAATTCTCTCACCCTCCCGTGCTTCTGACTGTACCCAGTGCTTGTCTAAATAAATAAATAAATCTTTAAAAAAAAAAAAAAAGAAGAAGTCAAAGTCTACCCCCTGTGACTTCTGGTACCAGTTTCATCTGTGGAACAGTAATAATAATGATTCTTAGCCTGAACGTAAAATCACAATAGGGAGTCTCATTCAGTTATCATAACACCTCTCTATGGCTCAATATCATAATCTCTCTACAGGTAAGGCTCAGAGAATGTCCCAATAGTCTGTTGCTATATAACAAGTCACTGTAATATTCAGTAAATTCATCTACTACAATTTCTCGTGGTTCCCAGTATTTCCTAAGTTTTCTCATGCAGTTACAGACTGCACCTGGAACACCTGAGGCACTTCTGCCCATGTGGACTCCACATCCGCTCTGTCTCCTCTCATCTCTCCTTCTGTAGTTCCTGTTATGTGACCTCTGGGTTCGCATTTGTTTTTCCTAAATTTACCCTCCTTATCTTCCTTTTTTCCTATTGTCATTTTTAATATAATTATCTTTTTTTCTCTGGGTTCTGGGTAAATTCCTTAAGATTGTCTTTTACTTTCACTTTGAGATGTGAGGCTCATTTTTCTCTGAGGTTTTCAACTTGGTAGTCAGATTTTCCATCTTCAATTTTCCCTGAACTCAGATTTTTTTTGACCCTTTCTGAATATTCACTCTAATGTTATGATTGCGATACTTTTCTTTTTTTTAAGATTTATTTATTTATTTATACAAGCACTGGGTACAGTCAGAAGCGCGGGAGGGTGAGAGAATTCACCAGAGCCAGAGCGGGGAGCAGAGCAGGCAGAAGGACTGAAGTACACTGCTGAGGGGAGCAGCGGGTGGCAGGAGAGGTCTGCGCGCATGTGGGACCCTCGCCGTCAGCCAGGATGGAATCAGTGCTGCAGAGGCTGCGAGCAGCGTCACAGCCCAGCGCTCAACCCCTGCGCCATTGGGGAGGCCCTGATTGCAGTACTTTTAAAATCCTTCTTGTAAGAATGAATCAGAAATTTGCTAAAATTTTGCCAATATCTTATAGTAAATTCATTTCAACTACTCCCTGTGACCCCTTTCTCTGAACTGTAGCGTCATTTCTGAGGTCTGATGATTTGTCTGCTTGATCATTTTTATAAATGGAGACCTGGATTTGTCAGTCTGACAGCTAATATAAGTAGTAGCCTTAGTCCCCCCCAAGTTTCCTGGCAATTTCCTCCACAGTTTGAGAGGAAGAAGAGATTTTACTTTCCTCTAATTTTGCACAACCAAAGGCTAATAGACTATAGGAAATAGTGGTGAGATGACTATAGGTCAAGCAATAATTTTCTCACAATTGTGACCTTCAGACATACCCTGCTTTTTACTGTGGCATTTTGCCGAGGGCTGACACTGCACTGCACCAGTCTTCCACTCTGGGGTGGGCCCTCTGAGTAAAAGCCATGTCTGTACACTTGAAATAAGTCTTTCTCTGCTCGCTGCAGGATTGCCCGCATGATTCGTCAGGAAAGAGGCAATGCTTTGCTTGTCGGAGTAGGAGGCACAGGAAAGCAATCTCTTACAAGACTTGCAGCTTATATATGTGGTTACAGATGTTTTCAGATTGAACTGAGCCGGGGCTACAATTATGAAACTTTTCATGAAGACCTGAGGAAGTTGTACAAACTGGCTGGTGTAGAGGACAAGAATATGGTTTTCCTCTTCACAGACACCCAGGTACATGTTCAAATAGCCAAAGAGTAAGAACATGAAAAGCACAAGAACATGAAAATCATGAGTGTGCTTTGAATAGTTTGTATGTAATTCAGGGAATTGTTCCTTTTGATAACATGTCTCTTGATCCTTGTAAAGGATTTATATAATATGTTTTAATTTATTGTACCAACATACTATTTCCCCCTTTAAATTCTAAGTAAGTGAAGGGGCAAGATAGATTTTAACTTTTCTTTGAGGGGAAGGCCACGGATAGAAGGAGGTAATAAACTATTTCTGTAGAAGTAAATATAAGAAATAATTCCCTAAGTGGAATCATATAGGGAAATATGCTTTACTCAAGAAAAAGAAAAAAGTAGCAATTATGTTTTAGAGTCAAATTAACTTTAAAAATTAAAATAGGATTAAGTCTATGTCTACGACAACCAATTTAACTGATCTTAAATTTATTCTATGGTAGAAAATTTACTACACTGACTACCCTTGGTTAACTTAACATTAGGGGAAAATAAGACATTAATAGAATTTAGCAAAGGAATAAAAAGAGATAATGCATAAATATTTTAAACTTCATTTTAATTTTTAAAACACTATATGTGAATGGAATGTGTCCCAAAATAGGGGTACATTTTAATCTAGTTCTTTTTTATTAAAGTAAAATGGGTTTACAACATTATATAGGTTTCAAATGTACAACTTTTGAAATCAACATTTATATATACTGTGTTATAATCACCACTAAACATCTACCATCATGCAACTGACCCCTTTTATCTGGTTTTCCCAGTTTTCTTCCCCCTTAACTCTGGCAACCATGTTTTAGTCTTATCTAAGTCTAAGTTTGTCTAAGCCTCTTAAAAGTAAAAGGTTATTTTGCTTTGTTTTGTTTGTTCATTTGTGGTTATCTACCACATGTGAGTGAAACCATATGGCTTGTCATTCTCCATCCAACTTGTTTCTCCTAACATAACACTCCCTATGTCCATTCATGTTGCTGCAAATGGCAAAATTTCTCTCTTTCTTTTATAGCTCAGCAGTTTTCACAGTAGGAAAAATATTTTTATCATATGTGACAAACAGTGAGTTATATCTAATATAAATAGATTTTTACAAATGAAAAAGGACCCATCGATATTCATCACCATTGCTTGACTGGACCTGTGACTAGGACTTTGCATCCACTGAATGTATGAATGAAAAAAGTATGAATGAATGGTTGTCAATACTGTGGACCCCAGCAACCTGAGTCAAAGAGAAAGAGGTCCCCCAGACATGATACCATCAAAGATCCCTGGATTGGTACCCTCCATCATTAAACCTGAGGTTACAGCATGCTCCACTCATTGATAAAACTCTTCCCTTACCAAAGTCAGTCCATAAAGTCTGGAAGGGATCATGAAAAATCAAGAAAATATGACCATGGAGATTCAGGAATTACTCCACAAAAATTTCAAAATAATTTTCCTAAAGATGTACAGCATCCTGGCACCATAGCTAAGCTGTTTAAAACACTGGTCTAGTAAAGATGCTCAGAGAACAACACAACAAAAAAAAACACACATATAAACAATTTGATGATATCAGGAAAATAATAAAAGAAAAAATAATGAAGGAGAATTACCAAGAAATACTTGGTTGCCCTCACAAAAAAACTTATAACTGCTCATGGACAAGACACCACTGAAAAAATTCTAGAACACAGGCTGAAGCTCCCCCCTATACCACAGAGACCAAAACAGACCATATCAGAAGGGTAAAAGGAGCAGCTGCATGCTGACCACATTGACCAGCCCCCCCACCCCAGGCAGAAGCATTACCACGCTGAGAGTCCTCTGAGCTTACATTTCCTCCAGTACATTTACTCCATTACACCCCTACGGCTGGAAGGGTGAACATCCCCCTCCTCCCACATTGTGTGTCACTTCCTGGGAATCCCACTCTGGTCTAATGTCACAAGGATCATGGGGGGGGATCTGCTGAGCTTGACCCACTAGAAATCCGATTGTGATGGAGAAGGTGGAAGGGGGTGGAATGAGCCACACTTATATCTTGGCACTGCAGGTTCCTACCCCAGACCCAAAGTGGTAGCACTGTCTATCGAAGAAATTCAGTGGGGTATGGGTCTGCCTGATTCTAGGTCATCATGAAACAGGGCAAAAGAACCATAAAACAATGAATAAAATGTTAATTGTAAGTCCTCACTACCAATAATTATTTTAGACACAAATGGATTAAATTCTCCAATAAACACACATAGAATGGCTAAGTAGATTTTTAAATAGATATTTTTAAATGAATGATGAACTGCCTATAAGAGACTTAATTTTAGCCTTAAAGATACACAAAGATATTTC